CTACATTTATAGCATTGACAATAATTTTACAGCAAATATTCATTCATTAGTTAGCCAGGCCGCGTTTTTTTGTTCAACTTGTGACATGACATGGGCAAAACAAAACGACGGGGCCTAGCTACCTAATGAATGAATATTTGCTGTAAAATTATTGTCAATGCTATAAATGTAGCTTCCAGTTTGGTTCCCAATTTGGATTTAATTCCTTTAAGTCGCACATTCAATCCTTTTTTGACCGCACCTTTTTTAACGCCTAAAATGTTTTTGTTTGGATATCATGACTTTTTATCAATACACACCATAAACCACAGCAGGTAAGAAAGTAACACTCCATAGTAACCCATATTACTATTAGCTTTAGGATCGCAACCGTATTATTCGGAATAGACCTTTACTTTACAGAACCAGTCAAGTTCTTTAAAATATATGGTGGTAGTTTCCCTCCCTAAAACTGTGTTAACAGCTTCTTTTATAGTAACTTAGGTTAACAGTTTCTTGTCATCACCCCCGTGCAATCGGTACAGCCGTATCAATCATCATTATTTATGCTAATTGCTTAAGCTAATAACACGTGACGCTAAACGCTCTTTAACTAGGATAATTTTATAAACCTTAGTAAATTTGTGCTGAAAAGATGGCAGTGAATAATCACTAATAACCGTCCACCCATATGATTATTTTGATAACTTGAGCTAGAAACTGCTAATCTAGTTTGCTTGACCTAACCAATACTTATGTAACTGCACGTACTTTTACTGCTCTAAATCAGACGTCTTTAATCCGAATGACAAAAACTAACAACGATCCACTTTTACACTTAGGTGAATCTGTAGTAGAAATGTGACTTTTTGCGTAGGTGTGTGCAAAAATGTTCGTTTTTTGTTGAATAACTTTGGACAAGTGCCATATATTTACACCAAATGAGACTCCTAATTGTTGGTTGTAAATATCTATCATTGTACCAAATTTGAAAAAAAAATCCATTAAAGTTAAGTATGTTTATCTATCAAATAAACTTTGTGTATTTTTGGTGCGAATAAAAAAAAAAAGGAAGAAACTCAATCAAAATTTGAGATGTTATATCTCAGGTAATTCTTAATGAACTGCCTTTAAATTTGGTATGTGAAGTAAGAGTCTGGTAGAGCACATTAACTAGAAATATGTGATAGTTTGGATCACCACAATCCGAGATACAGAAGGTAGAAAATCGCTAAACTATTACTCCTGTTAATAACACAATGTGTCCTGCATCACGTGTTTTGGCCACACGACACACTATTGTGTGTCTTGAGGTGGCTTTGTTCTAAAAACAAACAAATAATTTATATTTAATATTTCTTTTTTAGGTTCCAGCTTTCTTCTGATGAGATTGCTCACGGTCTGCCAATGATCGACACTTCTCGCACAGATATCTGGGAAATATGTCCCGCCCACATGAAGCCTGTGCCGTGCACTATGGAAAGATACCGAACCTATACTGGAGTGTGTAACAATATGCAACACACAAGCTGGGGATCTACCCACACCCCTTTTGTCAGGCAACTTCCTCCCGTCTACAGTGATGGTAAGGGTTATCGCAATTAACGAGTAGGTGACTCATTTTATTTATTTATTTATTCTTTGTGAAGCATACTCAGCCTTCCCTATTATTTCATTACTCTGGTTTCTGAAAATAAAACAGTTAACTTTACTTTATCGAAATCTTGAAGCTTACTTCATTAATAATTTGAGAGCAATCCCCATTTTAAATAGCGTGGTGTGAAAGTAACGTTGTTGAGAGTGATTGTTAAAAACTGTGCAGCTTATGCAGTTCAATAGCCCTTCCATAACAAGGAATAAGATATCACATTATATCATACGTATATATTTAAACATTTTACCCAAACATTGAATACCTCTTTTGAACTACATTTTCGTCGTACTTTATAAATATTCGGTGGACTACAGTTTCGTCACCATTTATAAATATACAGCTAAATTACTTTTTTATCACTCTTTATAAATACCTGTTCCAGCAACATTTTCGTCACCATTTATAATTAGCCAATTGGACGACAATTTCGTCACACTTTATATATAGCCTGTCGAATCACATTTTCCTCACGATAACTGATTGGATTTAGCGTGGAAAAGACTCTACCAAGTGCTTGAAAATGTATTGTTTCGTCGCAAACTGATCATCCAAAAGTATGGAGAAAAGATTGGTCTCGGAAAAAGGAAAAGGAATGCAGTGGCACGTACGACATTCAAGTTTATCCCAAAATTGCTCACTTCGATTGAAATCTAGTAATTTTAATGGTTATGGAAGATTATAACTTTCCCATAATGCTCTTTAAAACAATTTTGGGCAAATATTGCCACTGTGGATTTCTAATCTTCGAAGACCTTTGCCCATTAGGGAGCTTGATTAGCATTAACGTTCATGTGCACTCTAAATCTTCTTCATCCTTCAAAAGGGGTAAAATAGCCCTTCCGATGTCACGAGAATATTTACACATCAAAACACACTTTCAGTATCTTTCACTGTTGGAACAACTGAAGCAAGGACGAATGATTCATGCTTGTTTTCTCCACCGACAATACGGAAAAAAGGTGTAAAAAAATTCATCGAAGTCGCGAGAATATCATCCACATCAAAACACACTTTCAGCACAATTTTACTGTTAGAACAACACAAGTAGGGACGAGTGCCACATGCTTGTTTTCTCTACTGCTAATACGGAAAAAGGTGTACGATAATTCAACAGATCACCTTAAACACTACTATTCATTTATAGTCATCAGTTTGTATTTTAACTGCTTTGGAAGACATGTTTTCCTGTTTGCATTTAAGATGAGAATGGACATGTTGATTCCATATGGCATTTGTTGTAATGTTTTTCATATTGCACTATTGTATGTTGAATCACGATCACTTTTGATGGAATCAATTAATTGGAAAACAGTCATTTGTACTTAAAACGTCTGTTCAGTCGTCTTTTTCCTTAACCAGTCGTTTACGGATGCCAGTCACAATTTTCCTGGTAGCAGACATTTTCCCTGTCAGTTAACAAATTTTATAGACTGATAACTGTCCTGTTGAAAGCTACAATAATAATAAACAAGAGGATTCCACTTTGTCAGAAACAAATCCACAGAATAGTGTTGCTAAGCTAAAAGAAGATGACATAATAAATATTTTAACACACGTGGATATTGGATTTATGAAGTTTGATACAACAGGCTCAGCAGTTGTAACACATGCACATCGCACAAAGATTGTTAAAGTTGGAGCACATGAATTTCAACATAAAGAAGGTCCATTTGATGCCAAAGATGGGCGTTCTATGACTGCATTTTGGTTGAAACGATGCCTTCTGAATGGACAATAGTTCCTGGTTGGTGTATTCATCTCTACATAAAGCAGCATACTGCTTTTGTTATCTTCTTTTTTCATCTACATGTATGACATCCGATAGTCGGTCTGCTTTCAAAACACAGGGTGGATTCTCTAAGTAGAAAAAAAATTGAAAAGTTAAATGCCCATGAAAATAGTGACAATCATCGTGAGTCATTTGCTGCTTGGAAAGAAACTGAGTGTCGAATTCGTCTTCAAAGTGGCATTGATGAAGAGCTGCAAAGGCAAATTCAGCAAGTAAAAAATAAATGGAGAGATG